GTCTCTCTCTCTCTCCCTCCCTCTCCCTCCCTCTCCCTCCCTGTCGCTCTGTCCCCTCTCCTCTCTCCTCTCTCCTCCCTCCCCCTCCCCCCCTTAGTTTCCTCTGGGTATACTGTGGACAATTGCTGGGGTATTGTTGAAGGTTCAGAGTACGCTTGGCAAACTGAGTATGGGCAGGGACCTGCAGAGGAAAGGTAGTGAAAACCAGGCTTTCAGGGGTAGCCAGGCAGTGTCCAAAGCTCAGGACTCTCCCTGAGCAGTCCACCATCCTCTCACCCTGCTAGTAACTGGTGGAGGCAGTGGCTTGCTAAAGGGGGATGTTGGTAGTAGGAATATAGAATCATTACTCTGAGTTATGCGATGGGAAGAGAAAATTGCTACCTCCCAAAGACAGTCATAAAGTTCAGGAAGTGGCACTGGGAGACACCAGACTCTTGGCCCGATCCATGGGAGGAGCAGAGTCACACCTGTCCAGGCAGGCCTGGCGTGGATTCACAAGCCAAGCCTGGTGACAGATCTTTAGTGCCTTTCAGCTCATGATCATAAGGGCCCCTGTGCTCCAGAAATCCCATATTAAACATATGTTTGCTTCCCAGTGCATTCCTCGGAGGCAGTCCTGGTTTTGCCCTAGTACAGGTTGAATATCTTTTACCCAAAATGCATGAGACTAGAAGTGGTTTTTATTTCAAATGCTTTCAGATGTGGGAATATTTGCTTATACATTATCGGAGATATAATCCAAATCCAAACACAAAATTCACTCATGTTTCATATAAACCAAATACACAGAGCCTGAAGGGAATTTTATAGTCTTTTTTACCATGCCTATGCTTTGACTGTGACCCATTACATGAGTCAGATATGGAATTTTCTGCTTGTGACATCATGTTGGTGTTGAGAATTTTTCAGACTGTGGGGTATTTTGGATCTCATATTTTCAACTTAGAGGAGCTCAACCTGCAGTACTCTCTTCTACTCATTGATCTGATAAACATCTGTCAGGTGCCTTTGACCAGGCCTGGGCCAGATGCAGGAAACACAGGATGAAACACACACAGACCAGAGAAGAAGACACACACGAAGCAGCAGTAGCAGGATCTAACATGTCCCAGGGGGGCCACCAGCATCATGCTATGAGGACACTTGTGAAAAAGTGCACATGTTTTTGCTGGGAGGACCAAGAAAAGATCCCTAGACAAAGAGATGATGTGTTTTGCCTTACCCCAAGAAGCGTTTCCACAGTCTAGGAAGGGGAGAGGCCGGAGAAGGAAAGTCCCCCATCAGCAGAAGGTGTGCTGAAAGATGGAGGAGCCTCAGGTGAATGAAGGACACAGGCTGAGCTATTAGCAGCTGAGGGGATCAGGAGGCCATTCTAGAAAAAAGCAAAAACAAAAAGGTCTTCTCCTTAGAGTCACTTCAGGGACCTAGGAAGGCAACCTCAGCCTTGGGTGAGAGCCAGAAAACCAAACCACAGCCCATCTGCCAGGGGAGTTGGGAGTCTGCAGACTTCTGCCCACTGATAACCCTACCGACAGCCAAGGGCTGAGCATGAGAAGCCAGAGCCCCTGCGGGACTGAAGACCTGGAGCAGCTGGGTCCCAGAGTCTTTCTCCTGCTGATACCTACTTTGGTTCAGCTGCTCAGCCATAGTATAATGGGAGGTGTAAAGGTGCATCAAGATTCTATTCCAGGTTCCCAGGGGAAAGACACAGAGAGCCCACCTGAGCCCTGCCCTGCCTCTCATAAAGAGATAAGATTTCTCTGATCCTCAGTAGCAAGGCTCGTTAGAAAGCAAATTCCCCAGCCTGCAAGGCCAAGGGCCCAAGCAAGTAAAAGTCATAGGGCCGCCAGGCTGGATGTGCAGGAGGGACCACTGAGGACTGTAGTAGCCGGAAGGGCACAGGCCACGTACAGAGAGGCATCTGACCTCAGCTCCAACAGACGCTGCCATGGGGAATACAGATTATCAAGAGAAGCTGAAAAAGCTGATTTCTGCATGAAATATCCCAGTTTTTAAGTAGCTGCCCTTTTAAAACAGCAAGCAAGCTCTACTTGGCACATGGCATGCTCCTGGTGTCTTAATTGCTACAGTTCCATTTTCTGTCAAGGTCTTTGTCTCCTTTGAACCTGAGTACAAGCCCCCGGCAAGCAGCATCTCTCCTCTTTGAGGGATAAGAAGTCTGATATCCAGAGGAAGCCTAGTTAAGTGGTAGAGTTAAACCCAAGTCAGGCTTCCACCAAAATGTGCTCTGCCAGCTCCCCTGCCCGACCCCGTGGGCACAACCTCCTTGCTGGCTACAGGGCCAGAAGACAGAACAGGAGGATGCAAGAATCAAGCTGTCCAACGAAATCACAGGCACATGTTCTTATGGAGCTTTACCACCACCTATTGGTCACATTGGGCATCCAGGTGAGAACCACTAGCACCCAAGGGGAAGGACCACCCTTATCCTTATCATCCCCTTCTCTGTACAGTGGTGTAGGGTCCTGTGGCTGAGAAGTGGGACCACTGCCACCATAAAACAATGGGCATTTTAAGTCTCTTGTTTCCAAATAGCCAAAGAACTGTGCCTCCCACCTGGGGGTGTTAAGGTTAAATGAGAGAATTCAAGTCCCTTTCATAGCTTTGCGCAGAGCTCCTGGTCCTTCCCAAGCATTCAACGCATGGCTGCCCACCACTGTTATTAAAAGCAAAAGAAAAGGGCTGGGGATTTAGCTCAGTGGTTCTAGTACCTGCCTCGCAAGCACTCGGGCCCGAGTTTGATCCCCAGCACCCTCCCCCCAAAAAAAAAGCAGAAGAGAAGGTAATGTCCAAAATGACCAGAACGTGTGGTCCTGCCAGTCCCGGATGGGCTATCCAGCCCAGGTCTGCCACCTTCTCTGCTGTCCCTCTCCCTCTTCATGCTGGCTCAGTCTGACCCAGTAAATAATGAGAAAGACTCTCGGATCATCATTCTTTCCCCTGAAATCCCTAAATCTCTCTCCAAGAGACTAATTTCTGGAGTGTGGTGCCAATACCATTTCTTTTAATGCAAACAACCAGGTTTCATTTGCTTCTCTTGTAGTGGTAGAATCATTCTTCCCACTGGGATTTTACTTCAAAGGCCAAGACTTTTTTTTAAGGCAAGTAGAAATGGAGCCATTATGATTTTGGGATGGTGGTAATCAGACCTCTCAGCACTGCCAACCCCAAAACCTCCAGGTTTTCCGAACCCACCATGTGAAAAGCAGTGGCTTTTTTGGCATTGTTTATAGAAAACTCAGGTTAAGATGAACCAGGAACAAGGCGACCCTTTAACCCATGTGCACTGACTGGCACAGACAAGGTAAAGGAGGTTTAGATTTGGAATCCATCCTGACTTTGAACCTCAATTTCACCATTTCCAAGCACTGTGTTCTTAGTCAAGTTCTTTATGTTCCTTCCATGTGACATTGGTGCTCACAAAAATGCACTCAGAGATGGTAAGGAGCCAGTGGAAATATGCAGAAACACAAAGCCCTGAGCAGCTGGAAGGTTGAGGAATCAGTAGATAGGTTCTGCTGTGGTACACTATCATACTCTCCCACCCCAGTGCCCAGAACGGAGCAGGAAGGAGCTGCCTCCTGGCTGGCTGTCCTCAGAGGCCATGCACCAGGGCCTGGGCTAGTCAGGGAACTCAGAAAGCAGAGAACAGAGCCAGCAGACAGGAAGGATCTCTGGTGTTTGTGCTCACTGTATCTGTGTGTATCGAGAATGGAAAATAGCTGCCCCTCCTCCCTAAAGTGTAATGCTGGGTGTGCCAAGACCACCCACCCAAGCAGCAGCCACCCCCACAGTGTCCTATACGCCCAGTGGCTGCCCAGAATTTATTACACACATCTTGGGTGGGGAGCTGGTTCTCCAAATTCCCTTGTGTTGAAGGCTTGGCTGCCAGCCTGCGTTGCTACTAAGAGACCGTGGAATTTCAAGTAGGTGGAGCCTCGAGGGAGAAAACTGGGTCAGGCCCTTGAAGGGGATACCAGGCACTGGCCCCTGCTCTCTTATATTTTGCTTTCTGGGTGCAATGAGGTAAATAGGCCTCCTTTGCCACACGCTCCTACCATAATGTACTGTGCCATTACAGACACAAAGCAATAGGGCCAAGACTAAAATCTCAAAACTGTGAGCCAAAATAAACTTTTCCTCATTTATTTTTAATTTTAGTTTCTCTATGAATTCTCTGTGTATATTTGCTGGGTGATCTCAGACAAAGCACTTAACCCATCTGTGGATCAGTGTCTTTATCGACAGATACCCCATTTCACAAAGTTTATGATGTGTAAGTAATGAGACCCAGTTGGCATCATGTCTGGGCCGTCGTACACCCTTGGGGTGCCTGCTGGGACTAGCAGTGTGGGGAAGGGGCACGTTCCTTGGTTCAGACCCTTGCTGCATCATTTATTAGCTTTGAAGTCTTGGGTACACTATTTCACTTCCCCAGCTTCCTTGTCCTCATTTCTGTAAAGGGGAACAACAAACTTCCTTGGCAGGAGTATTGGAAGGCATTATTTCCCCAAATGTGGCACCTCATGACCTTGGCGGGCCATGAGATGAATTCAGGTGGGGACGAAGACAAACTACTGGTATTTTAACTGGGAGAATTGTTTTCCTATGCATTAGAAAAAATTAAAGTCCCACTAAAACAATTTTTTTCTTGGACAGTGTCTGTAGAGCACTGCCAACTTAAATGCTTACTGATGTTCAAGGGGAATTAAGGACAATTAAATGGGAAATGCATTAAGTAAACAATAGGCACACAGGTAGAGCCACAATTAAAAAGGTGACTGGAGGATACCCTATTACATGACAGAGACAAGGCAAATACATGCTGATTGCTAAATGTACTACCTGACACTAGTCTGGACTTTGTAATAGGAGAAAATATCACAAGGGCCGTTATTGGATCCATTGGAAAATTTGCACAGAGGATAGACTAAAGAATGGTGTAATATTAAACTTACCTGAGCTGTTAACTATGCTGTGTTTTTTGAGAGAATATCCTCATCCTTGGGAAATGCACAGTGAGGTATCTAGGGATTAAGCACCACAATGTTTATATCTTATCTTTAAATGGCTCGGGAAATGTGTGGGTTGGGGAAAAGAAATGATAAAGCAAGTGTAGACACTAGGAGAAACTTGGTTGTATTTTCTGTACTATATCTTTGGAACTTTTGAAATTTGAAGTTTTTCCAAATAAAAATGTAAAAGCCAGGCATTGCGATGCATGCCTGTAATCCCAGCACTTGGGAGGCTGAGGCAGAAGGGCTGCCTTAAGTTCGAGCCTGGGCTACACAGTGAGTTCAGTGCTAGCCTGAACTACATAGTGAGACCCTGTCGCAAAAAACAAAAACAGCCATTAAGAATGAGAAATTAGATTCATTCATAGGAAAATGGATACATATTGAGGATATACTCCTAAGTGAAATAAGTCACACATGTGTAAATACTGAATAGTTTCTCTGGTGTGAAAAACTATAATAGTACATAAGATCCTAATGATATAATTGACAATGTGAAATAGGAAGAAAAGGGCTAAAGGTGTAGGAAAAGTGGGAAGGGTAGGGGAAAAGTAGTAAGGGAAAAGAAAAAAATATGAGAAAATTTAAAAATGGAAACACAGTGTTTGTAAACGGGGAGGGGAGGAGGGGGTGAAGGGAGGGCAGGGACAAGGGAAAAAAAAGGAGAACCAAGACCTGTCATGTAAAGGTACAGGATCCCAATAATGAATGTAACTGCACTGTATACCTAAAATGTACTGATAAACTCAATGAGAGGGAAAAACACACACACACACACACACACACACACACACACACACACAATAACAGAAAAAATCAAAAAGTAAAACAAAGCATAAGTGATGCTGGTCAAGTCAGCAGCCCAGTGCCTGGCCACAGAAGGAAAACTACTGGCTCTTTGCTTTCTTTCCTGCCTAGTGTGGAGACAGTAAATGATGGGCAGTTTCACAGCGTGGAGCTGGTGATGCTAAACCAGACCTTGAACCTGGTGGTGGATAAAGGAGCACCGAAGAGCCTTGGGAAGCTCCAGAAGCAGCCAGCTGTAGGCATCAACAGCCCCCTCTACCTTGGAGGTAACACTGTCCTCCTGGGCCCCTCTCTGCTCCCCACCTCAGCACCTGCACCCAGAACTACCACCAGGGGCTCCCTGCTGTCATCTCAGTACCCACTGCCAGAGCCAATCCAGAAAGGCCTCCTGGAGGAGGCAATGGCAAAGCTGATTACTCAAAGGGTGAATAGGCATTAGCCAGCCCATGGAAACAAGAGTACTTTGGACACATGCTTGGAAAGGAAAGGGAGCGGGAATCTTTGTGGGAACTTCAAGGGTTCAGAGAGGAGCTGAGGATTGGGGTAAGGTGAAGGTGGGATAAGGAGGGTGAGGAGAAGCAGCAGGAGACGGAAGCAGGTCTAGGCACTAGACTGCAGGCTTCAAGTCAAAGTCCTCCTGGAGAGGCACCCATTTGAGACAAAGGTTATAGAAAGGCCCAAAATACAAGTTGCTATCAGTCTGGTAGAGCCTGGGGCTGAAATGCAGCCCCTGGACTGGTGGTTCTCAAAGAGCTGTGTGCAGAAAAAGCCACTGGGCTAGTCTGTTCAATATAGATGTTAGAGGTGACACCAAGAGTCGCCTTCTGAGGGGCTTGTGTAAGACCTGGGATCGGCACTGTTAACAGGCCGACCACCGCCCAGAGGCAGGGAGCCAGGAACTGCATCTGGCCTACAGCCAACCCAGAAGGGACAGTTTTTCCCCAGAGGCAGACTGCTGCTCCCCTCCCCTGAACCTGCTCCAGGTGTAGACAGAGCAACCTAAGTGCCCTGCTTCCAGCCTGCAGACTGGTCTCAGGCTCTCTGTGTATGAGGTGGGCAGCTAGCAGTACAGCGGGGAGAGAAATCACAATCAGACTCAATTAGAAAGCAAATCAGGTCTCTAGCAACATTCTCTCAAAGATCCTGGAAAGAGGGGTACACAGAACAGAGGGCAGTAGTCTGAAGCCTTGAACCCCATAATTCCACGAATGAAGACCATTCCCCATACCACATCCTCTCCCACAAACTTCAGCTTGTTTTCCCTGGGTTCTCTGGCAGGGCTGGAATAAGGGGATGCCCAGGCAGAAGAGCGAGAAGTCGGTATACAATCCATCCCAGGGCTCTGAGGGGTAGTGGTTTTCGATTGAGGAAGTGGGACCACGTGGCAGTGGGTGACCTGACTCACTTTCTCTAGGGAAGTACAAACTACAGACCTTTATGAGAAATTTTCTAAAATTAAGTATTAGCAATGAATTTAAGTTTTTTAAGTAGGCCTATTGCAGGACCAAGGATGTGTGTCCTTGTGTGGGAAAGGCCCAGGTTTTGGTCCATTACCTTGAACAGCAGAGGCCCCAGGCTCTAAACCAAGAACAGTGTGTTCTGGTAGAGGCTAAACACATGAGGACTTCTGGGTGCTGGGTGTGGTGAGCCGAGTGGACAGGAGAGGAGTTTCAGGCTGTCCTGGCCCTTCTCCTACAGGCATTCCAACCTCCACGGGCCTCTCAGCCTTGCGCCAGGGTGCCGATCGGCCTCTGGGTGGATTCCATGGCTGCATCCATGAAGTGCGCATCAACAATGAGCTACAGGACTTCAAGGCCCTCCCGCCGCAGTCCCTGGGGGTCTCTCCAGGCTGCAAATCCTGCACTGTGTGCAAACACGGCCTGTGCCGCTCCGTGGAGAAGGACAGCGTGGTGTGTGAGTGCCACCCAGGCTGGACTGGCCCACTGTGTGACCAGGAAGCCCGGGACCCCTGCCTCGGCCACAGGTCAGTGTCCTGCAAGCCCCGGACTCCCTACGTACATGCTGTCTCTGCCCTCACCGGAGAAGGGGGCACCGATGGGGACGGAAGAACTGCTCAAAAAGTTGAGAAGCTGAGCTTGTAAATCTGACCAGCTGGCCTTGCTCACAGACATGAACATGCACAGGCCTTGCTTAAAATACTAGTCTTTGTCAAGGGACCTTAGAACCTGCCCGGCATCAGGCCATTTCTGTGTGACTAAAGAAAGGTGTCCTTTTGGCATGGCAAGTAGAATGACAGTCAATTTCAGTCCCCCAGCAATTGTCCTGACACATGAGGTCTGCATAGGTGTGCACAGCGGAATCGTATTTAATGGTTTGATCTCTTATTATTCATTGAACAAATACATATTGAGGACCTGTTATTGCCCAGCCTCATGCTAATTGTAAGAAATGCAGTATTCCTAAGGTTAAGAAATCTGAATCAGCCATACAAAACACCAGAGCCAAAACTGGCAATTTGGTTGGCTGAACAAGCTGGAAGATAATACTTTAGATCCGGAAGGAGGGAGAGCTATAAAGAGTTTGAGCCTCCTGTTGCTTTTGAATATGTGTTACTCTAGAATATGAATCCTAGCTCTGAATGTCATCCCAGCAGGAATGTTTTCAGATTTTTGGAATACTTACATATACATAATGAGATATCTTGGGGATGGGACTCTAAATCTAAACATGAAATTCATTTGTGTTTCCTATACAGCTTATACACACAACCTCAGGGTAATTTTAGGCAAGATTTTTAGAGCATCTACATTTTGACCACAATACATTACATAAGGTCAGGTGTGAAATTTCCCACTTGCAGCATCATGTTCATGTTCAAAAAGTTTTGGACTCTGGAGCATGTTGGATTTCAGATTTTGGATTAGGATGGCTCAACCTATACTAGTAGTAGTAATAGCCTTTTTATCATTTAAGATGATGAAGCCATTAAAATGTTTTTTGGAAAGTTTACATTCTTCCAAGCAGTGACTTACCAATTGGATACATAAGTGCTGTGTGTGTGTTAAAGTAGCCTCTATTGTGGTCACAGCTAGAAATGGACTTTGGCCACTGCAACAGGGTGTTTTGGGAGGAGGAGGTATGGCAGATCAAACTTGGGACCTCGCACTTTCAAGGCAGGCAGCGGAACCACTGAGCTAAATCCCTGGCCTAGGATAGGGTACTTAAAAGAGAAATGCTCAGCCACTGGCTGCAAAAGGACACACCATGGGATGGATGCCTCTTGGACCACACTCAGTCAAAGGTCCTACCACTCTGGGTTGCTTGGTGTAAGCCTGGTTCCTGGCTGTGGTGGACAAAAGGTGCCTTTAGTAGCACTAACTCTTGTCTGGTTCCCTCCTCTTCCTCCTCCTCTCTGCCCCCAGTTGCAACCATGGAAAGTGTGTAACAGCTGGGAGCTCATACATGTGCAAATGTGCCGAGGGCTATGGAGGGGCTTTGTGTGACCACAAGAATGACTCTGCCAATGCATGCTCAGCCTTCAAGTGCCACCATGGGCAGTGCCACATCTCAGATCGAGGGGAGCCCTCCTGCCTGTGCCAGCCTGGATTCAGTGGAGAACATTGTGAACAAGGTGAGGCTGGTATGCTCATGGGAGGGAGGACCGGGAGGAACAGGGTTGGAGTTATGGTCCCCTAATCAGAATGTCTAGGCTCAAGTGCTGGCTGTGCCACTTAGATGATATATGGCCTTGGTTCTGTCACTTTCCAAGCCTCAGTCCCCTCATCTTGACAGTGGGGGCAATATTATACATTTTTGAATTAGGTATCTGCTGTTGCAATAACAAATTACCTCCAAAACATAGTAGCTCAAACCACACTGAACATTTTTTTTCATCTGACATGATTATGGTGGGTCAGAAATTTGAAGACAGTTTAGCTGGAGTCTCTCAAGAATGGACTTAACACAGTGAAGGCTGGGTTTTACAGAAGTTAACCTGGGGCAGCATGAGCTACTTCCAACACAGTGCATTCTTACTGTGCTGGTTGTTGGCAGGAAGCCTCAGTTTCTCCTTGTGTATCACTATGTGGAGCAGTCCTCATGACAAGGAGACCAGCTTCCGACAGAATGAACAGAAAGAAGCCACGAGATCTCGTGTGATCTGACTATGGGAATGACTTGCACTGTCATCCCTACATGACACTGGTTACATGAATCAGGTACATTTGTTGAGGAAGGAACCACAGAGGAGACATGGATACAGGAGGTGGTGGTCATTGGGAGCCACTTTAGAGGCTGACTGCCATACTGTCTTATAGGTTGTCGGGACAAGCATGAGATACAAAGCTCATGGTACCTGACACAGTGCTAAGAATTTGATAGCTGAACTGTATAACTTAGTTTCATGGAGCATCGAGGCGATAAGTCTTAACAGATGGAAGCAACACTTAGCACCCATGTGCCTAGGAGAAACATACTTTAATGCTCTGGGTCATAAGTCCTGACTTAACTCAGCACCTCCTGCATAGGTTCACTGTGAAGATTGAGATCATAGTAAATAAAGGATCAGGACCCTTGAGGAGTATCAGCAAGATGGCTGACTGGAGATGGCTAACAGACGCAACTCCTAACACACAAAAGAACCCCAATGGTGAATAAATAACTACATTTTGACTGGCATATCTGAAAGAAAGTGCTGGGATATAGTGAGGGTATGGGGCAGCCCTCAGACCATAGAAACACAGGGTGGCAGAGGGCGGAGGGGAGCGGGACACCCCATCACCCACATTAGCTCAGAGCCAGGAGGGACTTCTACTTGCAGGGAAAAGGTAAGCAGGAGCCCCCCCA